ACCCCCCCCCCCCCGAAGCAGATTGCAAGAGATGGTGAAGTATCACCCGGTGAATTAGAGAATTTGAACCTGATACACTGAGAATCCTGAATGGCTGTTTTTAATAATAATAATAATGATGATGATGATGATGATGATGATGATGATGTATTGTCATTGTAAGTATATACACAGTATACCCATACAATGAAATTCACAGAAATTTTCAGGAGGGAGGTCTGGTCTGTTCCTATGGGTAGAAACCTGTAAGTAAGCCCCGTCATCTTGGCTGTCTTGGGTGACCGTTCTTTCTAGACCTTCAGTTCCAACCCCGGCAAGACACGCATGACAAATTCTGCTTGCTTGCTGTATCTGAAATAGGGCAGTCTAGAATTTTATGAGCTCTGCTACTCTTCGGTATAGTGCCAAATCTGCCCTATATCCTTATGGAATGACCTCCACAAGAAAGTGCCTTGTGCTTCATCATTGTTAGTCCACTTAGCTCACTATTTTCTGTGCCAGTTTGTATAGGCTTGCAGAAATAAACTAGATTAGAATCTTTCCCTTCACTCCTTGAAGATGCCTGGGATTAAACTTTTGACCTGTATTGAAACCAGTGTCCTCTCCTGCGTTATTATCTCAGAATATTACTGTTGTGCTGTGTTTGACCCCAGATAATAGAATGCAAATGCAAGGCTGGACAGTCCAAATCATCTCCTTCCGCTAAAGCCTCACAACCTGTCCCACAAATATCAAGCCCATGTATGTTATTCAAAAATTGAAGCTTTAGAATATGAAATGTTCTTAGTACAATACTTGGTTTTTCGATTAATTCTAATTGTTTAATCTCTTCAGAAAGTCAAAGTGTAAATAAAAACATTCTCAAGTAGCCCAGAAATCTGCATTCTATTGTTAGTGAAACATTCTGCATTTTTTCATGTTCTTGCCAGGGTTGAAAAATACCGACCTCAGACACTGAATGATTTGATTTCCCACCAGGACATTCTGAGTACCAGTAAGTATTTGAATATTTGCATCATTGTTCTTGCTTGATCATCTCAGTGTTCTTGACTGATCTTCTCATCTTCTCAAAGCTTTGTGCACACACTGGCCCCTCTCAGTTTCCCACCAGGACATTCTGAGTACCAGTAAGTATTTGAATATTTGCATCATTGTTCTTGCTTGATCATCTCAGTGTTCTTGACTGATCTTCTCAAATCTTTGTGTACACACTGGCCCATCTCAGTTGGAGGTATTTGATAATGATCCTCCCCACAAATGATAAAAGAGACATCCAAGACTTTGCAAACTTAACCAACAAAGGGCTGTGTGTGCATGTCATTGTAATAAGGTGAGACAGGAAATAAACAAGAAACAAAAGAAAAAGGAGAGGCATGAATTGACAGAGTCAAAGGCAGAGGGAAAATAAAGAATTTTTACCTGTGTTGCCATCTGTCAGCATACAGTAGTGTACATAAAGGCAGTGGCTGCATTTGGACATCAGTGTAAACTGCTTATCTTATGTGTATGGCATGCAAAATCAAAATTCTGGTTTCATAAAAAAGAACGTTGATGCATGCCACTCCTGTTAATTGGATGGGCTAAACTAAGAGCCACAATTTCTTTCATCCAAAGGGTTAAATTAATTTTTGGAGAGACTTTGGGGCCAGAATTCCAGTGGTAGTGTAGTCAAAAGCTAAAAGATTATTATAATTTCAGGATATTTTATCTGAATGGCTCCTACTTACAGTAACCAAGCTTTACAAGAGGTATTTAAAAATCTTTCAAAATGGGAAAGAATGTATCACAAAATATGAAAAACCACCAAAAAATAGCATGATTTGGAAAGGAATGTGGCTGTCGGGAAGGATAGACAGATGTTTGGCCTTGTGCTCTTAAGTTTTCCATACCTAGCCAAACAAATCAAACAGGATGAAAGAAGAAGCAGTATATGTAATGTACAAAGAAATCCATGACTTGGAGCATGAAAAGGCTAGTTGAGAGCATTTGATTAAAATCAAGAAGAAACAACAGTTATCACTATGGGTGTTTGCTACAAAACCTGTTAATTAGACTAGGGATTTAGAAGGCGCCATCCTAGATTAGATTACCAAAAATTCAAAGAGGAAAAATATAGCAGCAGTGGCAAATTTCAGCTATCCTGTTGTCTGTTGGAAGTCCAAGTTTGCCAAACAATGTAAAGGTCCATTCAATTCCTCACTTCAGCACCATCTTCCATATGGCAGAAGAAGGGACAAGGGTTTCAGCCATCCTTGACCTACTATCATCAGGGAGAAACTGGTCAAAGATGATGTGATCACACCTTCTTGAGATTTCTTATACAGAACACAAAAAAGCTGATTAAAAATATAGCAAGTACTATGGAATTCAGAAAAGCTGATTTCAGTAAGATTATAGGAGGGGCAATCTCCTGCATGGAGAATTAGTGCAGGGAAATCGCTCCAGAGGGAAACCACAGGTGCGATACAAGGATATCTGCAAGCAGGATCTGAAGGCCTTAGGAATAGACCTCAACAGATGGGAAACCCTGACATCTGAGTCTTCAGTTTGGAGGCAGGCATCATGGCTTCTCCCAGTTTGAAGAGACCCTTGTCCAGCAGGCCGAGGCAAAGAGGCATTCCCGAAAGCAGCAAAACCAGGGAGCTGGACAGGAGACAGATTGTTTTTGTCATCAGTGTGGAAGAAATTGTCACTCTCGAATTGGCCTTCTCGGCCACACTAGACACTGTTCCAAGACCTCTATTCAGAGCATGTTACCATAATCTCTCGAGACTGAAGGATGCCTAATCAAATAGGAAGGGTGAGCTCACTTTATCAGGTATACCTAAAGAGAAGGGAATTCATAATACAGTGGTGCCTCGCTTGACGATATTAATTTATTACAGCGAAATCACTGTAGAGCGAAAATGTCATAAAGTGAAATAAAAAAGCCCATTGAAATGCATTGAAAACCGTTCAATGCTTTCCCATGGGCTGAAAAACTCACCGTCCAGCAAAGATCCTCCATAGGGGCAGCCATTTTCAGTGCCTATAAAGTGAGGAATCCATCCAAAAACACAGCAGGGAGCCATTTTGAGCAGCTGGTGGCCATTTTGAAAACCCAACTATCAGCTGTTTTGATCGTCGTAATGCGAAGAATTGGTTCCCGAAGCAGGGAAT